GTTCTATGACACAGTAAAAAAGTTTTTTAGTTGGGTAAAATCATTCTGTTAGAGTTTTAAAGCTCAGTGTGAGACAGAGTGTTAAGCCTTCAAATGGCTCTGCTGTTTCTATAATCCAGTGTCACCTAGCTAGCTAAGCATTACAAACGCTCACACTGTACTGAGCTAACACGTATTCAGTAAATTTGATGTAATATTGTTAAAAGCGTGGTTTAGTTTTAATGAGAGTCCACTTACAGATTAAACAGGGATCACATTGGGACATTACACACAAACAAAGAGGAAAAATTAAAAAAAAACAGTTACATTTTAATGCTCAACAGCAACTGATCCTCCTCAAGATTTATGAGCTCATACACACTTTACACACACTGAGGGATAAAAAAGTGAAGCTCTAAGAAATATATTCTCTATCATATTGCATGTTTAGTTTATGTATTTGCCACAACTGCATTCAAAAGACAGTACAGATAGTACAAATACATACATATCATCGAGATCTTAGCAGTCAATTGAAAAGAGATGTGGGCTCCTGATATGTTGCACTGTGACTGTGGCTGTAGAATGTTTGTAGCTGTGATCTGAGAACTGTCAGCCCTATATTTATGATCGCTTCATTTCAAATAACTGCAGGTATTTCTGCAGAAAATCCACTTCAGGCATGGATGAAGTAACTGTCTTGTGATGTTATTTTTTCAGACAAATATTGTTTCACACATTTTTACATTAGTTTTCCAATTCTTTGTCTAAAAAGTGTTCCTATTCTTTTTTAAACCTGTTAAAAAAGCCTAACTATAGATGTGTTGTTGTGCAATCAGTGAAATCAACTGCACTTGATATCCAGCACAGAACAGACGGGAGGATGGTGACAGTAAATGTTCAGGTTTCAGTAAACTAAATCAAGAGAATATGTTCACTAATTTAATTATGTTGTGGAGAAAAAATACAAGATTAAACGTATTTGAATTAAAAGGACTTTTATAATCCTCTCTAAACCTATATAAGTGGGATTTGGTGTAATCTAAATGTGAGCACAGATTGCATTCCAAATCGCACTGCCCTGTGCTTATTTTAGATATTGCATAACAATGTTTCATAACAAAAAAAAAATCTGAAAAAAGACAGGATATTCATTATGTGATAAAAAATCATTTCAGGTTCAAATCACTGAATTGAAATAATTCCAAAGGCCTGAGTTCTTTATAGTACTATCTATAATACTATCCATGACACTTAAAACTCTTTGTGCACTGTGCATGCTGTGCTTAGTCTACGTGACAACTTGTGTATCTGCAATCTGGTGTTTTTTTTCTCATACAAAGAATATTGTTGTAGATGCTTGATAGACTAGAAAACTACACTTAAAATAAACAAAGAAGCCTGATTTGTATGACAGCACTTCACGAATCCTGTGGTCTGTGACAAGGCAATTGAGGTTTTTTTAAATTCATCCTTTATGTCTCATTGCAAAGAAAAACAAAGGCCACATATTGGGATGAAAGTGGCTACACCACACATGAACACTGAATAATCACACTTTTGACAGAATTAAAGGCTATGAAAGGTGTCATTTAAAGACATACTGAGAAATGATAGTCGCCACTTTTTTGCTTGTATTCATGAGAACAGCTACCTTGGAAGTAAAGTGTTTCTTCATGCTTCTATAAGGAAGAAGACACAAGAAAAGCAAGAAACTGAGAAGATGAACCTTTCAGGACCATGGTCAGCTCAAGCTCAGTTGAGACGTTGAATCATCACGACTGAGAGAAATGTCTGCAATTTCTGTGGAAATACACTGAAACATTAAAAAAAAAATCTTAATCTTAAATAATTTTATACTAGATGCAAATTCAATCAATGATATAACTATGACACATATTCTGCTGTTAATATGTTAATATGATATAAGCTGCTAACATATAGAATAAAAAATAACTATAGCAATATAAGGTGCAACAATGTATAGACACATCTGAAGAAAAAAGTATTCTTTTCGGGTGTTTTTTTCCCTTTCGATTCGTTTCCTCTTTTAACGCGTGTTTTGATTGGCTCTCCACGACCCTTGTAACCAATCAGCCTCCGCCTGCTATGGAGGAAGGAATAAATGCAAGATGGCTCCTCATATAAAAACAGTCTTCTGGGTCGTCCTCAACGTGCAACAAAATAACTCTTTAAATCTTATCAGGTTAAAATATTTATCTGCGAAGAGTTCTGAGGGGTGAACTGGGCTTTATGTTAATGGTACTTGGCGATATTTTGTGGAAGAAGACAGCAGAGAGACGACCGGGGCAACTTTGAAGACATGAATTGGTTGTGAACTCTCTCTCTTTGGTAGACAGAAGCACACTGTTGGGGCCTCGGCTAGCTAGCGGTAGCTGCTAGCTAGCTAATGACTCTGTCTGCTGTTATCTGTTGCACTGGAAACAGCGTAGCAAGAAAAGTTTCAAGTTGTCCGGTGCCTGTTGGATGTAGGACGCTGAAGTGCCCACAATAACTGACCATGGCTGTATCGAGGTAAGATACGTCTGTAGTAGCTCTGTTTATCTATCCCAGGGTTTTTTTTTTAGCTATTAGCTAGCGGGCTTGCTAATACCTGCTAGCTTTTGATTAGGAAGAGAATGGCATGGCGACGCCTGACAAACGTTAGCATGTGTAATGTTACAGTGTGAATTGGTCGCCTCTTGTGATATCCCTCGAAGTGTTAACGTAAGTTTGGGCTCGTGTTCACTTTCAGGTGCGACATTAAAATACATCCCAGTACTCTGTAACACTCTGCTGATGCCGGCGTTAAGTACAGGTTAATTAACGTTGCTGTGGAGTTATGTCAGTAAAGCTGCTTTGCAAACAAGAGATGCCACCACTGGCTAGCCGCCTCTGCATGCACAACCAGTTAATGTCTGTGTCCGGAACAGTTGCACCTGTAAGTCAACCGTAAATACACTCAGGTGTAGTCCACCTATAGTTTGTTGGGGGATTGTTGTTATGTTGTTTCTCTGGTACTGAAGACTTCACGGCTCTTGTGTAGCTGATGGCATGTAAGTCCAGTTTTCTGATTCCAGCCCAGCAGGTTTTCCTTATAGATCAAGAAGATCCTTTATGAAACTTCTTAAGTGCTCCAGTTCATGCCTTTGCATTGTAACAAAACACAGAGATGGCAGGGATAATTTTGACTTAAGTGTGTTTCAGGGGCTAGCTTAGTTTTCATAACAGCACACTAAACAGGGGTCACATAGGAACACTGCACACAGAAGGGGAAAAAAAAAGGGGGGGGGGGGCATCCTTCATACCTCCTCTGCCTTCAGAGTTCATTACACAGAGTGAATCATGAAAATCACACACCCACATCTGAAAGATTTTAAAAAACACAAAAGAAAAGCCCATTGCATTCCAAAGCAAATGCTGCATTGGAAAAGTGCTGAAAGTAAACGACTCCAACAATGGCTAGCTACTTCTCTAATATTTAACCAGTTATGTTAATATTAGAAATCTAAACAGTCACACTTCGATGATAGTTTTTTTTTT